CCGAATTCCCTCTCTTTCTTCGATTTGAGTACTTCAATCCTTTCTAGTTCAATTTTGACTCACAGGGAGAATAAGTTCTTCCAAGGTCTGATTACGTGATTCCAACCACTTTGCCGCCCTTTCAGGAACGGGGGAGTCGTGTAGTGAGACTCTTCTCAGTTTTGAAGGAAGAGATTCGGGCTTGAGTTGATACCGCCAACTGAGATGCAATTCCTCCACATTATCGAGATTCTCGAGTATATTTTTGTAATATGGTCCGACAGAGTAATACGAGATACTAGTAAAATCCAAGGCAAGATTGAAGCGACAAAGGCTGAGATGCTTGACAGTTAATTGGAATTCGGGATCCTTCAAAGATCGCCAAGTATTCCCTCGTGTTGGGTTAATATCATTAGATGCACAAAAGCAAGTCGGAAGAGCTCACCCCTCCATTTATCTACGAATTTGACATTTCTGACGAACTGGTGAAGTTGTGGGCGTCTTTCGAATGCCGTGAAGGAATTCTGGAAATTTATGCAGGCTCATTAAATATCAACATAACACCATCGGTGGACTCACTATGCGTTCTTGGGCAGCAACATCCACGATAATTGATCGATATAGAATGGGTGTTGCAATTTCGTTGAATTCATGCGAAAGGAGACAAATTGATTGTAATGAAACTCTATCCAGGAACCCGAATATGTGAGTTATGACCTCCACAGGCAGCCAGGACAATGATAGGTTTTTGGTCATGATTGGAAGGGAGCAGAACTTCGGTCAACACAGTACCGAGTCATCTGGGACAAGCATATCATCTAAATCATGTAGATTTTCTCTTGAAAGGAGATATATCATACAGCATCCTCACGTAGGTAGGGGTTCGGGGTGAAAGTCAAATTGAAGTTCACATTATTCATGAAAAATGAAGTTATTTCTTGCAACAGCTATGCTATCTTTGTACTATCGAATGAGGCCCAAGAATCAGTAAACCGTCCCCACCAGCATTTCATCATGTCAAATGAACACCAGCAAGCTTGGGAGCAAGGCCAGCGGCAGCAGAAACGGACCAAATGATGAGTTTTCCGTCGACACCTGTGGTCGAGACCTTCGTCACGTTCCCATTCGGTCCCCACTCATAGGGCCGAACACTGGTAATTGTGTTCTGATGAAAGGGTCATCAATTCACCACCAGAGATCGATCCAGCTCCGAAAAACCCTCCACCAGGACTGGAGGGGGTACCAGGGATAGGACTACTCATCCCTTTAGAGTCTGCCTCGTTGAAGCGCTTGAAGGCAGCATTATTGAGTCGTCCGACTGGTGGTCCACCACCGCTCCCGAGTCGACCAGGTGTACTAGGTGTGGATACACCAGAGGCAATGGACGAACGAGGGCCATTGGCGTCATCCAGGGACCCTATGGCTTTCCACCCGGAGGCTGTCCCAGAATAGAGGACGGGTTGACAGTCGTGACCAGCTGCAATCAGGGCATCCTCGGTTGTCCAAGTAAGAGTTACATAAGGAAGGGTCGTCGTTTTCAGGGTAATGACAGCTGGTGCGGCCGGATAAACGATGGTGACGGTAGAATCGTGACCTTGTTGGACCCTTAGCATCGCATGTCAGTCAATAGATTAATAGGCTTACTCGCAAATGCCAAGACGTCTCCTGAAGGCGAAAAACCGACGGCATGTACCCAGCCACCACTCGGGCTACTGTATTCTCCACATAAAGTGTTCCAAGGGAATTTGTCTCCCCATACATTTGCAGGGGGCCTATACCGCAGTCTCAGTATTCATTACTCAAATTCTATCGTAAACATACTTGGAGTCTACTTCTTTGAGATATGTCGAGAACACTCTGGCCTTCATATCGGCGCTTCCAGCCGCGAGTAAGACATTGTTAGGGTGCCAATCAATGGAAAGTACGGTGCTCCTGATAGGCTTTTTGATTTGCTTGGAAGCCCACCAATTCATTTCTTCATCGAATGAGCATACAAAGATGCAACGGGCTCCACTCGCGACAGCAAACTTGTTCTCTGAGGGGCTCCAGCGTACCTGCG